GGGAGGTGCAGGTTGCTTTTCCGCCCCCCCTGTTTGTTCAAGTCTCTGATCACTGAATGCCCTGTGCACTGGTCGTCTTTTATAACTGTGGCGGTGAGAGGGTCCTTGCACTCAGCAACGGATCTGTCCCATCCAGCTGCATATAGTCAAGCTCTCTTTCTCTTTCTCTTTCTCTCTCTCTCTCTCTCTCTCTCACACACACACACACACACACACACACACACACACGCACACACACACACACACACACTCTCATCGATGCTCCTCATCAAAGTACGTCCTTCATATTATATAGTTTGTGGTTGCGAACTTGCTGTGTTCCTTTCTCCTGAGTCTTCATTGTTCTTGCAATACAGTGACTGATTGTCAATGTGATGAACGTTTGGCGCTGTTTGCTAAAGGCGCGTGATGGTACACTATGTGAGGGGCTACTGTGTGTTCATGGTGCCTGAGTGGTGGAGTATCTGCTTCTGCGGTGGCAGATGTTCGTCAAAGTGACTTCCTGAGTCTTGATGGTGGTGTGTAGAGTCTTAGGTTGTGTCGTGGGTGGGTAATTGTCTTCCTTTTGTCCTTGCTGTATGTGTAAAGTGCCTTGTTGGTGCTGCTTGCTGCTTCGCTGCCGTCGACGGCCACCCGCTCGCCTTTTGTTGCTTGCTTTCTGCTGATCTTCCCGGTTGCCCTGCACATCTCTTTCACTTGCCTTGCCGCCTCCCCACCTGCCTTGTGTTGGCTTTGCCGACTCTACCTGCTTGCCTTGCGTTAATCTCTTTTAGTGTGTTGTCCTCGCCATCCTTGTTGCCCTGATACCTGCTTGCCCTGCGGCCTGTTGTCTTGCTGTTTGCGCGGTTGTCTGCATGCCTGTGTTTATCTGTGCTCTCGTCACTCGCCCTCCTGCCAGTCCGGCCTCCCACGTGCTGTGTTTTGCCTTGGGCGGTCTTGTTGCTCGGCTCTGCCCGCTTCCTTGGCTGCCTGGCTGCCCACTTTCCTTGCCAATGAATGCCTCACTGCTTCAGTGGTGTCTGCCTTTGCTGCCTTTCTTGCTGCCCACCCACCTGCTGACTGTTTGCTTGGCCGCTGCTGAGCTTGTTGCTTTGTTTCCTTCCTTGTTACCCCGCTCACCGTCTGCCTTGCTTTTTGTCTGCTTCGTCTTGCTACTGGCATCGTCACCAGCCCGCCTGCCCACGCGCGACAGGGGTTGAAGCAGATTATGAGTGAAAACATCAACCGGGGACCGTGCAGACTGACAGGGGGAAAAAAAGGATTCTGCAGACTGTTGGGGGTTTACCCTCCTGCTTAGTCAGTCAGATTTGGACAGAGGAAAGGTCTGTCCTTACCTTTTTTCTGTGTCCTTGTCTCTTTACCTGAGTCCCTTTTTGTATCTCTCGCTCTCTTCGTGCATTGCTTGTGATCATATGGACAATTGTGCATGGGCTAGCAGGAAAAACAATGGATTGGTCCTATGGACACGCTAAAGGAAATGGGGAATAAGACTGTTAGGCTGGGATCTGAGGAGCTTCCCCCCACATAGAAATGTGATGCACATTCGCAACACATACACAAACACATGAAAACACACAAACAAGGCCACTGCGTGCGCTACACCACCAATGCATGTCTCCGTGATTATAATTGCAACCATAATGCTGCTTCCGACTTCCCAGACATCGTCCGCTGGATAGAAGCGGAGCCCCTTAATGTCTGCCCAGAAGGCAAACTGTGCTGCGGCTGGCATGAATATGGAAGTGCCATCTATCGTGTTCGTGGGAAGGGTGCTGTAAGGCACGCCTGCCCTGCAGAATTATTCGCCTGACATGGATTGAGATATCCTGTGAGTAGATCCTACTTCGTCCAGGCCACTTCAGCACCACGACCTTTACAGACGGTTCATGGACTTGGTGGAACGAGTTGCAGAATGACACGCACCGTGCTACTACCGTCTTGGCCGGAATATTTGGCACAACTTTCGATCCAGATGCAGCGATAATGACCAGGCGTTCTATTCAGGTGAAGACGATAGCACGAGCAGGCTGAGTCCCGCTCAGTTTGGCTTTTTGAATCAGTAGTAGTATGTGGTTGCAGGACCTCATCTTGGCGTAGGTAAAGCTCTGTCCCATCTGGAAGACAATCTGGCCAAACCTCCCCCTCCCCCCCCCCCCCTCCCCCTCTGCCTCTGATCAAGCTGCGGTACCTCCCTGTGCAGATAATATATTTTCTGCCAGCCACTCTGCGAACATGCAGATGCAGTCCCCGGTTATTGTGTGCATGACGTACGCTCTGCTCTGACCCATTATCGAAGCATGATCACCACAGTGCCTTCCATGAGAACCGTGATTCGTCTTTGCGTTGAATGCATCCTCTCCACACAAAATAACGGTTCTGCTCGTTAGCTGCCCGCTACCGTTGCAGCCTTGGCATGCCTTGCTTAGGTAACTGTGGGCGGGTCTGCATTCGTATTTGCATCCCAGCAACATGCTGTGTGCCACCAATGTTTCCGGAAAGCTTTCATAGACAGTATACGCATCTACTACTCACCACACCCTCTCCGCTCATGTCACACATGCCATGGAACCCTTCGCCCACCCTTCCCTCGCCAACGAACGGTTACAATAACCTAATGTGGGAGGCAGACTGCCGCATAAAGACCCCCCAGTGCAGTATCTGAAAGGGCTATCTATCACCCCCCGGGCAAGCAGGGGAGACTAGCTTATGCAACAGTCGAACGCCATGTCCACGGACAGGCTATGCAGGTAGCCCAAGCGCGAGAAATGCTCTGCTCCCTGTTGGTTGGTGATGACACAGCTCTATACAAGTCTTTTTTTTCACACGGAATTCCGATGGCATCCTCCCGTGTACTCGTCGTCCACACCGCTCTTATGGCATGTTCTCTCTGTATATGGAGGGGCTGAAATTGCCTTGCCTATATAACTGCAATTGTTGCGCTTTTGTGTTCCTAGCATGTGGGAGCTATGCTGCGTGCGATATCTGTCTATGCTGTGCCATTCGAGGCACTATCGGTAACTGCGAGGATTGCATGTGATGCTTCCACCGGCAACAGCTGGACCATTTTCACCCAGTCTGTGGTAGTGACCACTCCCGATGGGCAACACCTAGTGCTCCATCCGTTTCTGTACCACTCCCCGATCAACGAGTAGCCGCTGTCTTCCATTAAGTTCCATACAAGTCTCTGGCAGTCTGTTGTGCCGGTGAGTATTCAGGATCCAACCGGGTCATCCTTTTCCGTACTGTTTCTCTCCCCTTTTCTGCCTTCCTCTTCTTTCCCTCAGCTATTGTTCCCCGCACAGAACTACTAAATGCGAACAAATTAGTATCACTGAGAGGGTCCTTCGGGACATACGTTAAAATTGGAACGATACAGAGAAGATAAGAATGGCCCCTACGCAAGGATGACACACGTAAACCGAGAAATGGTCCAAATTACTAGGCTACCAGCCAGGCAGCCCGGGTCACCTTGTTTTCCCGGGCGGCCCGGCCATGGAAGGACCTGGTAAGGTCCCATCAGAAAAATAAAATAAAAATTTTAATAAAATAAATAAAATAAAATAAACTTTAATTATTTTAATAAAGCTGAAAAAGACTGTTGTGAAGAAAAATAAACTGAACAAGGTGGTTTTTTTTTTTTTTTTTTTTTTTTTTTTTTTTTTTCAGACTGTGAACGATTTATCCGGCATATGGGTACGCCGGCCGGGTTAGATCATCACCCGCGGAATAAAGCTCACTTAAAAAGTTGTAGTCTTTGGGTTTAACAAAGACATAAACTGAACAACTTTTGCCTCAGCATCACATGGAAATTCTTTATCAAATTTAATATATGTCCTCTTCTTCCTCTCCGTCTACTGTTTACCGGGCAGCTTTCTCTCTCTCTCTCTATATATATATCTATATATATTATATATATGGGCTGCTCTGTTTGACGATATATATATCTGTTTGTATATATGTATTGGTCTGGCCGGGCAAGTGGTCCCGGGCCACTCTGGTAGCCTAGCCAAATTATTAAAAAAAACGAAAAAAGAAAGCACCAGTGACTCAGTGAGAGGCTCACCTGAATTTCAGGAGAGGCTCACCTGAAAAAAGAAAGTACCAGTGACCCAGTGAGCAGTTGGCATCACAAAGTTGTCAGTTGCGACAACTCTTGCTGAACGGCGCAGCTGATGTCCCTATGTGAATGAGGGACCCTGTGTATCTATGCATCTGGTCAGAGAAATGGTCCAGAAGCATTGGTGATTATTTAAGACACACCGGGAGCACCCCAGGTTGTTTCTTTCTCTGGTTAAAAAACTTCTTCGGTCTGCCTTTTATTTGTTATAACATAACAGTAATAACAGTGAAGTCAAGTCAGGTGAGCAGTGGGCATCACTACGGTGTCAGGTGAGCAGTGGGCATCACAAAGGTGTCAGTCGTGATAGCACGTGCTGACCAGCGCAGCTAGCTGGTATCTGTTCATGTAAAGGAGGGACCCTGCGCTTGAGAATCAGTTGCAGGACTGTATCCGTGCTTCTGTTCACTTCTTCTTTCTTCTTAATTTCATTCATTTAGTTACAGCGGATTCGAACTCATGTCTGTATGTCAACAGCGCGGTACCGTTTTGATTTTTTTTTGGCCGGCGCTTCCAGCCATTGTGGTCCGGTACCCCAAAGCCCTAAAGGCGCGGCGCGTTAACGGGGAAGCGCCGCGGCCGATGTATGGGCCGAGTAGTGGTGATTTAAAGGGAAGAGCACGTCTTGCATGACACGCCCAATTGGAAACGGATGGGCCGGGAGGCTTGGCCCAGGTTGGAGGTGCGCAACTACATTTCGGGATCGGGCCGTCCTGCGGCCCAACAAAAAAATTGGAACGCCACCTGGCGGTGGCTTGAAGAATTTTATTACAATGGCGGAGCTGTTTTGGACAGTCATCTGTGTGCAGCGGCCAATCTAATCTTCAGGCAGGAAAAGAAAACTCAGGCCTCAGGCCAGTGCCGACCTAAAAACAAATTGGGCCACTGTGTAGCTGCAGCCAAAATTTTCTTTACAATTGTTTAGTCATCTTGGATCATCCGTTGATCTGTGTTTGGCCAGTGGCGATGCTAATCTTCTCTGCATCGCTGCACGAGGTGGTGGAACGAAAAAGGTGCAGCGCAGCACCGTGAGTTGCCACGTTGCACATATGCATACATGTGCAGATGTGTCATCATGTTCGCTGTACACAACTACTCAAAATTAGTTAGACTGTGCCAGAGGGTTTTGTCGGACTTTCACCAACTCGTTAGGAGGTTGAAATGTGTGTGTGTGTGCGCGCGCGCGCGTCTGTGTGTGTGTGTGTGTGTGTGTTCACGTGCGCGTGTGTCTGTGTGTGTCTGTGTGCGTGTGTGTGTGTTGTGTGTGTGTTGTGTGTGTGTGTGTGTGTGTTGTGTGTGTGTGTGTGTGTGTGTGTGAGAGAGAGAGAGAGAGAGAGAGAGAGAGGCAATGTATCTTTGCCATGGGGAGTGCTACAGAGGGCAACACTTGTTTTTTGTTTTCATCTCTTTTCCCAAGGGGTAGGGCACTATTCAGGCACAAGGCTTTGCAGTAGCTTAGTGGATGCCATCAGAGTTTTGAGTCCTGACATTTCAATTTTTTTCTACCATTTTTTTGGCGTACTCCGACTGGGATTTCTTCGACTGAATGTATCTGTAGGCTGGGTTGGATACATCCAGGAAAGGCCCTGCTTGAGTGCTCTTTATTCTTTCTGCCTAGACTACCGGAGTGGCCGGGGACTACTTGCCTGGCCGGCCCAATATATCACAGTGTGACAATATATATGTATATATATAGGTGAGTGATAGTCTACTTTGATTTTGGTTAAGGTAGATTATCATTTACAGTGTAATCAGTGAGGGGATTCTGCAGACTGTTGAGGGTTCAGCCTCCTGATGAGTCGGT